AAGACAGCCCAAAGCCTTGGGAACCTGCACCCGTGTGGGAGACCAGGAAGAGGCTCTGGGCTCCTGGCTTTGGATCAGCACAGCTCCAGGTGTTGCAGCCACTTGGGGAGTGAGTCAATAGATGGAAGATATTCCTCTGTCTCTCCTCCTCTTTGTATATCTGACTTTCCAATAAAAATAAATCAATCTTTTTTAAAAAAAAAAAAAGTCCATGTTCTCACTGGAGGCTGATAGTTCCTGCAAAGAATGAAATATCTTTGGAGAAAACAGACTACTGCAGTAAGAACAGCTTCAGCATCCGTTCCCTTTCCTGGTTCCTTGGTTCTACTACCACTGTTACAACTGTAGCAAAAGCATTTTGTTATCTTGGAATAAAGATTCAACTTTTACAAAATGAAGATTAGAATTAATGATACAAAGAAAATTCAAATATCAGAAGTGAGTTATGTTAATAAAATTGCCCTAAGAATTTAAACAGGTAATAAACTTTTCACAGTGGAATTAGAAGGGTTCAGAGTAGATACTGTCTCAGAAAACCACTCAAGCTTTGCATTCCTTATGGCAAAAGACCATTAGGGATTAAGAATAAAGCAGCAGGCATTGTGGTGCAGCGGATTAAGCAATCAACCTGTACCAGCATTCCATATCCGAGTGCTGCTCTGAGATGGAGTTAGCAGGAAGCTAGATCAGAAGTCACTCAGCTGGGACTTGAACCAGCACTCCTGGTTTGCCAGTGCTGCAGTGCACTGCTTTACCCACTATACCACAGCTCCCACGCCACTGGTGTCAGTTCTTACATGAACATGAATGTGCATTTCACCTGAAATTGAGTTATTTAAACACTTTCATTAAAAAAAAATTTTTTTTCTTATATGAAACTTAAGCTAGGAAGACTCAAATCTTGTCCCATTTTTCTAAGTTTGATTTAAAAAGTCTTTATACTAGTTTTGGATTAACTAAAACTTAGAGAATGCAATAAACCCTAATTTTTCCTCCCTCCCCACCCCCCGACCTCCAAAGTGACAAAAGCTAAGACATTCAGGCACAGATAACATCTTAAGTTTTATTATGCCTGAATTTGGGAAAAGCAAAATCAGAGTTGTCAGAAAAATTAGGATCATAAGCCAAAACTATTAAAAAAAAATCACCTCAGCCAATGTCTGTATGTAGCATACTACAAAAAAGTCAGCACCATTTATCACCTGTACTCAATGGATTTATTAAGATTCTTCTAAGACTTTTAAAAATAATTTACAAAGAGAAAGATACATCACGGAACTTTATCAACAATGGTCAGTTGGCAAGAAGTGTTTTAACTTTACATGTGTAGTCAATTATTTCCTTCCACTGGTTTACTTCCCCAATACAACAGCTAGGGTTGAGCCAAGCTGAAGCAGAAGTCAAGAACTCTATTTGGGGTTCTTATCTGGATGGCACAAACCCAGGTATCTGAGCCATTATTGCAGCCTCCCAGGATGCATTAGCAGAAAGCAGAACTGGCAGAAGGAAGAGTACCAGGAACCTTATGGACTGTGGGCTTCCAAGCAACAGCTTAACCATTGAGCTACAGTACATGTAGACAATGTCTTCTGCTTTTTTAAACATTTATTTTTATTGAAACAGCACGTCAGATCAATGGAGAGAAGGACAAAGATCTTCCATCTGCTGATTCACTTCCCAAATGGTCACAATGGCCAGAGCTAACCTGTTCCAAAGCTAGAAGCTAAGAACTTCTTCTGGGTTTCCCACGGGCTATGAGCCATCCTCTACTGCTCTCAGACCATAAGCAGAGAGCTGGATAAGGAGTGGAATAGGCACGACACAAACCTTACAGGATCCCAGTGCTTGCAAGGCGAGGAGGGAGGAGGTGGAGGAGCAGAATTTAGCCAATTAAGCCATAGGACCAGGCCCACAATGTCTCGTTAAGTGTAACTAACTACTGGAAAACTGTCATGCCTGAAGCTGAGAAATACCCAACCTAAAAACACTAGTTCGATTTCAAATACATCTTTAATTTAATAAGTCCTATGCATCATTACATTCTGGTTCTACTAAACACACACACACGCACCACTTGAACTGAAAATCATTCCATTACTGTTACTTCATATACTGAAGAACTGACAGCTCATCCTGTTGAAAAGGACAGTTGCCCTCTTAACTGTTCAGTTGTAAAACATTTCCATCTCAAACACCAACTAAATGGCGCTTTAATTTCTCATTCTATATTTTCCACTACTTTTGTATATACACTTGCTTTCAACATTTATCCATCCGCAAAAACCCTTTACTAAGATGTAATTCACATACAATTCACCCACTTGAGTATTTAAAGTTGTAGATCACTACTATCTAAATTCAGAACATTTTCATTCTTCCTGAAAGCCTCAGGCTTTTTAGTAGGTAATTCCATCTCCTAATCCCTCAATCCATTAAGCATCCATTAATCTAGCTTAGTCCCTGCATTTGCCGCTTATATTTTATATAAACGCAGTAAAAATGTGTGGTATTTCACAACTGGCTTCCTTTACTTAGCATGTTTTTTAAACCATTTTTTTTTAAAGATTTATTTATATTGGAAAGTCAGACTTACAGAGTGAAGGAGAAACAGATCTTTTGTCTGCTGTCCCCAAGTAGCTGCAAAGGACTGAGTTGAGCCAATCTGAAACAAAGAGTTTCTTCCAGGTCTTCCATGCGGGTGTAGGGTCCTAAGGCTTTGGGCCATTCTCTACTGCTTTCCCAACCAACAAGCAGGGAACTGGAAGGAAAGTAGAGCAGCTGGGACACACACCAGCACCCATAGAGGATCTGGGGCATGCAAGGCAAGACTTTAGCCACTAGGCTACTGGGTTACTAGGCGCTGGGCCCACTTAGCATGTTTTCAAGCTTCATCTATGTTATACCATCAGCACTTCATCTTTTATTATTGATACTAATATGAATACACATATTTTCTACACATCAGATGATAGCCACTTGGGTGGTTTCCATCTTTTTGGTGATTATGAATAATAATGCAAGTATTCAGGCACAAGTTTTTATGTGTATGTCTTAATTTTTCTTAGATTTTGTCTAAGTTTGGGCTACTGTAAAAAAGCACCATAACTTGAAGTACAACAAATGTTCACAGTTATTTTCTACAACATACTAAACCTGTGCCAACACCTGGCTTTCACCTGTCGCCTATACACAAAATTATCTTATGGATATAGAATGATGTTAAGAAACATATTTCAGGTATTTAAAATCTTCTTCCTGTCCAGCATACATGCTTCCCTGAAGATAACCTGACTTCCAAATGAGCCATAGCTATCCAAAGTGATACCTCTCCATACATAATATGTAAGATAATACTCCAACAGCAATACATCTAGAAAAGGTGATTCAAAACTTGACATTCATCATCTGCTCTAGCAGCCCAATAAACAACTTTAAATTCACTGCCCAGGATTGCAATAAATGATCACATTCATCCCCATTAGCAAGCCAAGCATCATTTTGTGTTAGCACTTACCATTATATCTCTACAAAATCATTGGACAGGTAGAACACATTCTGACCAGGCTAAAAGAAGAGGCTACCTAACTTTGAAGAATACACCCAGCTGGATTTTGTAATATGTGTTTAGGGTTTGGATCTGCCAGTCTAGGTTCCTGGATATATTTTTACAAAAAAATAATCATTTTACTCCTGGTAGTTATATTACAATTGGTTGGGTTGATGCTTTCTCTTTTTTAAAGATTTTCTTTATTTAAAAAGAGTTACCAAGGAAGAGATAGAAGTCTTCCAATCTGCTGGTTCACTTCTCAAGCTACAACAGCAGAAGCTAGGCCAAGCCAAAGCCAGGAGCTTCTTTCAGGTCTCCCATGTTGATGTTGGACCCAAGTATTTGGGCCATCCTTCACTGCTTTCCAAGCACATTAGCAGGGAGCTGGATTAAAAGTGGAACAGCTGAGACAAACCCACCATGGTACCAATGCCAGCCCCAGTTGATGCTACCAAGAGAATTTCTTTTTGTGTAGCCATTGTCAATTCACATAATCCAACAATGATCACTCCATTAATAAGATTGAAGAGTTAATCTTGACATGCAATTACAACATAGGAAATAGCAAAACACGTCTGGATTCATCACAACTCCAGAAGATAACAGCCTTTCTTTTAACAAGAACAGGACTGAAAACAACTTGCTAAATGTGTTAAGCCTAACCAAACTTGGACACTGCCAGTAAAGAGCTAGGCTCAAAATAAATGCCAGCTCAACTAGGTCCATAAGGTTCAGGGTATGCCCACTAATTTATCTAAGAGATCAATTAGAGCACAGGTTAATGTGCTCTGAAAGCACTACACAGCAACACCTGGTTTCCAAATGTTCACCAGGATCTGCCAAGGCAATCTAAAACTCACTATAGGCCTCAAATTCCTGTATTCTCACGCACCCTTCCCTTCAAGGAAACCTCCAGTGCACACACTCTCTTGGTTCAGCAAGCCAATAAACCAACTTTGATCACAGGTGAAACCCTGGTGGTCTTTGCCCAGTGGAATTCACCAATACAAATAAACTGAAGAATTATCTTTTGAAGGAGACAGGCTTTATCTCCATATGTAAAAGTAATGAACTCCACGTTCTATATAAAAATGCCTAATAACATTATTAAAGTTCATCAGTATTAACTATGGCAATTTCATAAAACAAACAGAAATGTATGAAACGGTATAAGATACAAAACCCGACAGCCAGCCTGTCGTGATAAACTTTATAACATTAAATACTCCCTGAAAATAATGCTCCATGTCAAAATGTCTATTTGATATTTTCAAAAGTCTTCCAACTCTAACACGCTTGATTTAAGGTTAACTACTCTAGCCATCCACTACGTGAACAATGACATTCATCACTGCGCTGGTTAAACAAGGAATGATGGTCAAAGCAACATTTCCCGCTGTGTAGTAGTACAAATTTAGGGGGAAAAGTCATTAATGATGAGCAGTTTTGAATGTTTTTAATTTTTTATAAAGATTTTAATTGCTTCAGTCACTAAACAGTTTTTACACTTAGATTTCATGATTCTTTTGTCTTCATACTTTCAAATGGATCTTCCAAACATGACAGATTTTAGGATCTGTCATATAGTGTCTTATTCAAATTATGTTTTCCAAAAGAGAGGATTCTGTGTCAGTCGCCTTTGAAAGTTTTCATACCTAGAAAAGCAAAAGTATATTCATAAGAAAATGGAAATTGAAATAAGATATTTTATCATCTAAAAATAATTTATAAAAACAATTTCACATAAAATTTCTAAAAAGCTAAGATTAAAACATTTCAAAACCAACGTGGAAATTTAATTATTATAAAGATTGGTGATTTAATTGCGAGAGTAGTTTTGATTAGCTTCTATTAGAAAGCATAAATCATAATAAATTTTAATTATTTGTCTTCTGCAAATCTGACAGCAAGAAAGGGCCTAAAAATCACACTGAACTTATCTTTTATTGATATGAGAATAATTGATTCCAAATTACACAGCTACAGTGTGACAAAATTCAAACCTAGTGCATTCCAGTGCTTTCCCACGCTACAACACGGTACCAGTTCTCAACAAACATCTTCCTAAGCATCCCCCCACTAATAGAATATCCAAAGTGAAAAGAGATGCCTATAAAACACAGACATGGCAAGGAGGCAACATAAATGTACTAGTCATTATGTTCAGGATGCAGTGTAAACTGCCCAGATGCCCTATGCATGTTAACTCTAAATCAAGGCTTTTTATACTTAACAACAACAACAAAAAGTCAACTAATTTTGGAAGTTTCTCTATATATGTAAATATTTACAGTCTTCAGTAGTGGTCCCTAAACAAAGGTAATTGTATTTTCTTTAAGAGTTCATAGTAGCTAATACAGAACAGAGTATGTAAGGTAAGGACTATTTCTGATCTGTATCTTGTAATACATACTTAAGGGTATGAAAATATTATTGTAATCTGATGTGCATAATAAAAAAATATGCTTAAATGTTAACATATATACATATACACAGTTATTCACAGCCTTTATGTTAGAAAAAGACTCATACCATTTCAGAACCACATTTGCTGGAATGAACATTTCAGATGGACTTGGTGTCATCTGGGCCTGAGAGACAGCAAATGATGAAGCAAAATTGTAGAAGTTGTCCAACATTTTTTGTGTGAACTGTAAAGTTAATAATTAGTAGGTTAATGTATTATTCTTAAAGTCCACTTAGCTATCAATTTGCTTAATTAAAAATGTTCCTAGAGCCTGGTACAGTAGTCCAGTGGCTAAAGTCCTTGCCTTGAATATGCCAGGATCCCATTTGGGTGCTGATTCTAATATTGGCAGCTCCACTTCCCATCCAGCTCCCTGCTTTGGCCTGGGAAAGTAGTCGAGGACAGCCCAAAGCCTTGGGACCCTGCACCCGGGTGGGAGACCCAAAAGATGCTCCAGGCTCCTGGCTTTGGGTTGGCTCACCTGTGGCCATTGCAGCCACTTGGAAAATGAACCAGCAGATGGAAGATATTTCTTTTTTTTAATCTTCTCCTCTGTTTTCTGACATTCCAATAAAAATAAATCTTCATAAAAGATCAAAATCAAGAAAAAAAATCAACAAATTTCCTGTCTACCAACAGTAATTTTTAAATACAAGGATTCTTGAACCAAATAAATTTAACTTTTTACTCAATTTTTCCAGGAATTTTTTAAAGTACCCTCATGTAACTTCAAAAGATTCAATTCACATTATAAATAGTCTTTGCAATAACAAGGAAAAAAACACACTGATGACATTCTTGTGGCATGCAGGGGCCCAATGATCTGAATCACTGCATCCCAGGGTGGGTGGGCATCAGTAGGAAATGGAGCTTCACAGCACAGCCAGGACTCAGCCAGGTATGCCAACACGGGATGCGGGTATCAAGGAGGTACCCTTCACACTCCACCAAATGCTCAGCCCAGGACACACAACTTTGCCAACAGTACTTTCACAAAGTAAAGGGAGACAAAAAAGTGAAATATGTATTATAGTACCTGAGTGAATGAGTCAACTGAGGATACAGCTGCATTGCCTACTGGTGTCTGCTGAGCCAGACTGTCCAATAATTCCACTGAAATTCCAATCTGGGCAACAGATGGAGTCCGGACAATATTCATGGCTCCAAAGGGGTGTTGGCTCCCTTCTCCTGAAAGAAATGAGTACATGTTAATACTTCAATTTTAGTGGATTTTTTGGGGGGTGGGGAAGAGGAGTAAAGGTTTATTTTTGCTTGGAGTCACCTGCAATGGCCAGAATTGGTCTGGAATGAACCCAGAGCCACCTTGGGCTCTCCCATATGGGTGCACAGGCCCAAAGACTTGGGCCATCCTCTGCTGCCTTCCCAGACTGTGCACAAGGAGCAAACAGGATCGGACCAGTGTCCATATGGGATGCCAGGGCTGCAGATAAAGGATTAGCCTAAATATGTCACCATGCCGGCCCTAACTTGCATTCTTACAAATTTCCTCTTCTAAATATGTGAAGAACTTTTGATCTGTACACTTATACATATACTAAGAAGTTTTCATATGTGCAATTTTGTCTTTTCAGATAAATGAAAAAGGTTACTTGATGCTTGGCATAGTAAAAACAAACAAAAAACAAACAAACAAAAAAAAACCCTAAGTTTCCTACCAGAAAACATAGCTACTACTTTTCTAAAATTTATTGGAAATGACGAGCTATATATGGCAATACGATGAATTTTATATAAGGCTTCACTGCTACTTCTGAAGGACATTGAAGTTTTCAGAACCAGTTTTAACATTCTCTGATAACTTTATTAAAGAAAAATCTTGCCATTATAACTGCAAGAGACAGCATATTTTACTAAGTGTGAAGGACCTTTCCACTCAAGAGCTGATACTCCAGACAATGAAGAAATCTGAGCTTAGGGGCGAGTATGGCCTAGTGATGAACATGCTCCTGTCAAGCACCAAAAGGTATAGGCTCCTAACTCCAACTGTCTGTTAATACAGATCCTGGAGGATGTAGTCATCACTCCACTTCCATCCAGCTCCCTGCTTGTGGCCTGGGAAGGCAGTAGCAGATGGCCCAAGGCCTTTGGAGCCTGCATCTGCGTAAGAGACCTGGAAGATCCTGCCTCCTGGCTTTGGATCAGCTCAGTCTGGCTACTGCAGCCATCTGGACAGTGAACCAGTGGATGGAAGGTCTTTCTCTATCTCTCCTTCTCTGTGTAAATCTGCCTTTCCAATGAAAATAAATAAATCTTAAAAGTGAAAATAAAACCTTAGGAAAGGTAGATTTGTAAAGAGAAATAGATAGAAAGATCTTCTATCCACTGCTTTACTCTTCAAGTGGCTGCAATGAACAGAGCTGATCCAATCTGAAGCCAGGAACCAGAAGCTTCTTCTGGTCTCCTACATGTTCATTACATATTGTTTTTCTCTTAATCAGTGGATTAGCAAAAATATTTGTATTTCCCAAGTATAAACTTACTGGTATCCTAGGTCTATACTTAAGAATATGCTTTTTTGTATAAAGGGTAAAAGATAGTGATTTTTCTTGCTTAACTGTTACCCTGATTACAAGTATTTGGTTGATAGTTTTGACAACTGATTGATAGATTTTGGCATTTTTGTTACTGCTTTTATGAAGGAATACATTTCTGAAGTTCCTTATTCCACCATTTTATCTTCAACATCAAATTATGTTAGTCCAGAAAATACTCTGTTATTTGTCTAACTGGATCCAATGATCTAGGACAAAAATATTAGAACATAATACATATTTTAGTATCCAAAAAAAAGTGGTCCTTTATTATCATTTGCTATATGGTTATAATGGAGATAAATAGACAGACATTTGGATAGATAGGGAATCTTGGACAGACAGATAATTGACACAGAATGTTCAGAATAAACAGTAAAGAAAAAAAACTTTTAAAAAACTATTTTTGGGGGTGGGAAGAGAGTCAGTGTGCACTTTCATCTGATGGTTCACTTTCCAGATGCCTGTTAATGGTCAGGGTTGAGCCAGGCTCAATTCAGTCTCACATGTGGTATCTGGATCCAAAGGCATGAGCCACATTTGCAGTGTGTGCATTATCAGGAAGCTAGAACACGAGCAGATCTGCTAGAATGCAGTTATCCCAACTGGTGTCTTAACTGCTATAGTAAACAACTGCCCTGAAAACAACTGTAGTGGGATTTTTAAAAGCATATAAATTCAGAAAACTGAGATAATGATTCCATCTTTTATTTGTTTTAAAATTATACAGCTTTGCAAACATAACTCAAGTCCTCTGAATGCAACTGCTCCAGGTGCATGAATGAACCTGGACTAGATAAATCTTACAAACCTCCTAAGTCAGATGGCTAAAAGACTCTAGCTTATGGTTACCTCTTGTGTCTTCTGGCATACACACTTCCAAAACACAGTACTTGGAAGTTTGAAGCCTTTGACAGTTCATAATTCGCTGAAGGATGGTCATCCTCATACCAACCTGATAACCTTGAAATTACATTTTCCAATAATACATAGTCTAAGAGCAATATGGCTCACCAAAACTCATCAGCAATAAATATCTTAAACAGGTAAAAAATATGTGACATTGTAATGTTTGAATTTTCATGTTTGAAAGGTACTAAAAGAAGCAACATTAAGTCTATGGCTGTGCTCTGTATAGTGCAAAGTAAAAGACAAAAGTCCTTACATAGTGTCAAAGAGTTTATACTCTAACGAAGCAGTTAAGTCGCCAAACTGTTCTAAACTGGATTTACTATATTCGTCAGTTCTAGCATTCCTTCTGATATTCTATGATTTCATAAAAATCCAACAACTATTTGCTGAGCATCAACTCTGTGCCTGATGCCACTATGCATTTCATATAGATTATGTCTAAAGTTCACATTTTTTTTAGATTTATTTATTTTCATTAGAAAGGCAGATTTGTAGAGAGAAGGAGAGATACAGAGAAAGAGCTTCCATCCACTGTTTCTCTCTCCAAATAACAGCAGCAACTGCAACTGAGCTGATACAAAGCCAGGAGCCAGGAGTCTCTTCCAGGTCTCCCACGTGGGTACAGGATCCCAAGGCTTTAGGCCATCCTCCATTGCATTCCCAGGCCACAGGCAGGGAGCTGGATGGGAAGTGGAGCAGCTGGGACATGAAATGGTGTCCATATGGGATACCTGCACTTGGAGACAGAGGATTATCCAGTTGACCCAATGAGCTGGCCCCTCAAAGAATTATTTTTAATGTGAATATTATTACTACCTCCTTTTCACCCGAATTCTCTTCCAAGGTAGTATATCTTGGTTGATACTGAAGATTCAGTTATGAGTATGACTGAGATACAAAACAAACTACTTGGCTACAAAGCTGATGTTTAACTCATAATCCTATATATTTATATGAAATTTTATAGTATGAATTTGTAACTGATTCATTCATTTCTTACTTTACAATGAAGTTACACAAAAGAACAAGTCAAAAAATGTCAAAAGTAAGGGGCTCCCATTCTGGTTTACTAACTACTTCATTACACTAGACTAATAGTAGCATCCTAAGGTTTTATTTTCACTTTTAAGATTTATTTATTTTTATTAGAAAGGCAGATTTACAGAGAGAAGGTAAGACAGAAAGATCTTCCATCCACTGGTTCACTGTCCAAATAGCTGCAGTAGCCAGAGCTGAGCTGATCCAAAGCCAGGAGCCAGAAGCTTCTTCCAGGTCTCCCAAGTGAGTACAAGGTCCCAAGGCTTTGGGTCATCCTCTGTTGCTTTCCCAAGCCACGTGTAGGGAGCTGGAAGGGAAGTGAAACAGCCAGGATAGCAACCAGCGCCCATATTGGAGCCTGGAGCATGCAAGACAAGGACTTTAGCCACTAGACTACCACACTGGGCCCTTTATTGTCATTTTTAATCACCTTGATTTGTTTAATGTATTTTAAAACAGATGTAGAATTAATTTGAAACTTCCTTCCTGGCAAAAGAGCTGGAAAAAAATAAGACCATAAATCCCATACAAAGACAGATAGAAGTGCTGACACTAAACCATGGTACAAAGTCTCAAAAGAAAAGAGCAGAATGACAAAGAACTTCAAATTGTGATTTTTAAAATACTGGTTTTAACATTCCTTAAAAGTTCCTTGGTGCCAAGACTTTACTTACATGTAGTTTTAATATCACTGTTACAAAAGACAAAAAAAAAAAAGAGCTAGATAATTATGCCAGATTTGAAAATAAAAGTATAATTAAACACAGTAAATGATTCTGAATGTAGTTCTAGAGAGAATTCTGACAGAGGGTGTTGCGAAGTCAACTGGCAAAGTTTACCGTAGACTGTGTATTAAGAGTACTATACTCATTGTATAAATATACCGAATGTGGCCATTAAACTGAAAGAGAACATTGTCTTACTAACACATAAAAGTATATACTAATGTGTTTAGGAATAAAAGGGCATGAGGTCTACAACTTATTCTCAAAAATTTAAGGAGCTATTGTTAGGGCACAGCAGATTATAACAGCATCTGTGATAACAACATCCCATATGAGTACCAGTTCAAGTTCCTGTTGCTCCACTTTTAACCTCTTGAAAGTAGCAGAAAATGGCACAAGTGCTTGGGTCCCCATAGCTGTAGCTACTGGCTTAAGCTTAGTCCAGTCCTGGCCGCTGTGTTAATGTGAGGAGTAAACCAGCAGATAGATGCAAGATTTTTCTCTCATTTTCTCCTCCTCCCTTTCAAATAAATAAAACAAATGTTTAACTCTCTCCAAAAAATAACAAATAAAATGTGCTAAAACTATAAATAAAATGTGGAGGGGATGTGCTGGTGTAGCATGTTAATCCACTACCTACAGTGTTTGCATCCTATATTGGTGCCGGTTCATGTCCCAGCTATACCAGTTTTAACCTAGTTTCCTGTTTATGGCCGGGGAAAGCAGGTCCCAAGTGGGAGACCAAGAAGCTCCTGGTTTCAGATTGGTTCAGTTTTGGTTGTTGCACCCATTTGGGGAGTGAACTGGCAAATCTTCCAAATAAAAATAAATAAATCTTTCAAATAAACAAATATAATGTGGGAAACATTTATGTGTGGTGAACAGTGCAAAGAATTCTTCATACGATTCTTCTAATTCTCTTTTAAAACTTTTTAAAAATAAAGTTTACTTAAATTCCTAA